GTAGTGATACACTGAGAATTCCATAGACTTATAATAAGAAATAAATACGACAGTTGCTGTGCAGTGATACACTGAGAATTCCATAGACGTATAATAAGAAATAAATACGAGAGTTGCTGTGCAGTGATATACACTGAGAATTCCATAGACTTATAATAAGAAATAAATACGAGAATTGCTGTGTAGTGATACACACTAAGAATTCCATAGACTTATAATTACCGCCAAGACTGTGCACTTTGACGTAATTCAGCTTCACCATGGAGCTTGTTCGATTGCTTGAGTAAAGAGAAAGACATCGGCACAATGATGGTCATTTAGTGCTGGGAAAAAAGTAAGACAGGCAGAAGGAAGCAAGAGAAGGAAAGTAAAGAAAAAAGACCTACAGCAGGTGGCGCCCTCCAACTACCCGCTCTGCTGAGTAGTGATACATCGAGAATTCCACAGACTTAGGGTTATGATACCCAAGACTGGGCACTTTGACGTAATTAATTCATTTGACTTTATTTGGAACCCAATGAAGGGCAAGGAGGGGAAAGTTGCGCCCCGATGGTGCCTTTGTTTGTTTTAGTAGAGGGTTTTACGGCGCTCGCAACTGCATAAGGTCATTTGAGCGCCATAAGATTAGAGGTGTTACAAGAGAGTAACAAACATAAAAAAAGAAAAAAGGGGAGATAAGGACGATAGATGTTTGATAGGAAATAAGGAGCAAACCACACCGGAGCACCCGCCAACCACCCACCGATGGTGCCTACTAGTGCTGCGAAGTTTTTCTAGAAAGCAAAGGGCGGCGGGCAGGAAAGTGCCCAGTCTAGGACATCATAATTCAAGTCTAATGTGAATTCGCACAACACTGTTAACGCCACATTCGGACATCTTGTCTAAGACAGCTTATTCCTGTAGTAGTTTTCGGATCATTAAGTATCAAGAAAGCCAGACTTCTTTCAGTTTTAGTAAGAGTTTTACAGCATTTTCACTACAATTAGGTCATATAAGTGCCGAAGATGAGAGGTGTTACAAGAGAGTAACAAACACACAAAAAAAAAGAAGAAGGAGGAGAGATCAGGACGATAGATGTTTGATAGGAAAGAAGAAGCAAACCACACCAGAGCACCCGCCAACCATCCACGCCAACCATTCACCAGACAGACAGAAACAAAAGAGGAAAAAAAGTAAAGAAGTAGTACGTACCAGTAGTGCTGACACCCC